CTCACTGTGAGTGAGCTGGTGCCGTAGCACAAACTCAGGACTCGACTAGTAGCAAACTCAGACTTCAAGCTGTGCTTGAAAAAAGAAAAAAAAATCTATAACAAAACAACAAAAAATTAATGGTTTTACTGGTGCACATACCTGAGTTTGATGGACTAAAGCAAGTTTAAAACCTTAATGTAATCCATTAAACTAATGTGGACAGGCACATGAGGTGAATTATGCTGGCAGTGTTACCTACAACCCCTTCAATGTCCTGTAACCTTCCCCATATCTAAAAGGATTTTTCCAGCTCCCTTCCCCCTCTACACATCTGCATGACCATCCAGTAGGACTAGAGTACCAAAGTGAGCCATGCAGGGAGTTAATCCATGAATTTCAGCATTTTATAGGTCCTGAGAGTATCTGCCCCATAAAACATCTTCTTCCAGCTCAAACCAAACACCAGAAATTCACATCTAAGTAAGTGAGCAATGGTTTTGTTAATCCCTTCTTAGCAAAAGCATGGCTTCTAAAGAAGGAAGGTTTCACCTAGGATCTGGAGCCTTGTGTGAATGTGCCTGAAGGAATTGCTCCTGGCCTCATTTGGTATGAGTGGATCCATAGGTGTTTGCAGCACAAGATTCCCGTGTGTCCATTCCAGCTCCATTCCCAACCAGTGCTACACAGCTGTCCTGACAAGAGGGGAAAGAGCCGTCCTCTTACCTTTTAAGGATAGTAATTGAACACTACAATCAGTTCTTTTATTACCCAAACACTGCCCAGGAAGGGAAATAATATCTAAAGCACTAGGAAGATGGCAAGGAACAACAACAAAAAATTTTAAATCATCTTGGTTTTCTTGAGGTTTCCCCTCAGGCCCTTTAGCACAGCAGACATTACCACTGGTTTAGTAGCAGCAGTGGGGAGTACACCTTGACAGCAGCAGAGCAGTGTTTTAGGGTATTTTCTCTTCTTTAGATGAAAAGACAGGCTTTTGGATTCAGGCTAAAAAAAAAAAAAAGTATTCATCCTGCTAAGTAGATTGAAAGAGAATCCAGATTAAATAAATCATTAAATCATTCCAGAATGTTATCCACCTGTTCTAGCCTGTAATTTATTTTCAGATGAACAGTAGGTAAAAAAAAAAAAAAAAAGGCAATACAATGGCAAAAATAATTTTCCTCTAACAGATGCTTTGATCCTGAAATGACACCTGGCCTGGGCAGCTGCTTGTGCAGTTTTTGAGATCATTTCAAACTAATTGCTCAAACCCACTGCTCCATAACCTCAATAGCCACATCAAGCTAAAACTTCTGTGGTAGCCACCTTTGAAAAGGGATCTTCAAGAAGTTTGTTGCTGCAAAGGCAATAAAATTCATCCCTTTATTGTGGGATGGAAAACCTGTAGGGGAACAGGACAACAGGCAAATACCAGCCAGCTGGGGGTGAGGGGTCCAGACCATTTCAGTGCCAGGGCTGCTCTCCTCATGTGCTTGTGCATCACTAAAGGAAGGTTCTGCCTCTCTTATGTTCCTATAAGGAGGACTGTGCTTCAAAGGTTGGGAAGCAACCTAACTGGTTACGTGTATTGTCCAGACTTTCTCACGACTCAGAAATGCCTCCCTGTCCTCTCCAGGAGAGTGCCAGTGCGTTTTGTGCTGCCCACGTTGGCTGGGGATGGCAGGGAGGGGAGGTAACCAAGGACCTGAGATGGAGGACAGCAGCCAGTGCTGGGAGTTTGAGGAAGGTGGTGAAGGATGGTTATTATGGGTTATCTCCCATACCTCCTCTGGCTCAGAGGCATCTCAAGGCAGCTGCAGTCCAAGACCCAAATTTTATGTCTCTCCAATGCATATTTAAACAAATTTAGCCAGCTCGTTTGGCAGTTTTTTTGGACGAATTCTGCCAATTGCTGAATGCAATAACGCCGAAGCAGGCCAGTCCAAGACCCAAATTTCATGTCTCTACAGTGTATATTTAAACAGATTTAGCCAGCTCGTTTGGCAGTTTTTGGACGAATTCTGCCAATTGCTGAATGCAACAATGCTGAAGCAGGAATCCTCTGTGGGAAAGGGGTGGTGGGGAGAGGGGGCAGAAACCCTCAGCCAGGGGTGTGTGTGGGAAGCAGGGGCTGCCCGCTGCCTCAGCCCTCACTTTTCGGGCGATTCCTCGGTGGATCGGGCTGATAAACTGCAGCTCTGGGGCCCTCAGTGCCGGCACCATCCCGCCTCTGCGCTCACCTGGGGCCGGGCTCCAGGGCCGCTGTCCCCGCGGGAGCGGGGCCGGGCGCGGGGGTCACCGCGGGGGCGCAGGAAGGGCCGGGGTGCCCGGGGAGCCGCGCCGTCTCGGCCGCACAAAGCCGCCTTTTCATCGCGGCCCCCTGCCCCCGCCGGGCCCGTAATTGTCTTTGACAAAACTTCATTAGCGAGCGCGGCGGAGGCGGCGGCGGCCCCGCGGTCGCGCTGGCTTTGAGCGGGCGCAGTGGAGTGTGCGCGGCCCCGCCGCTCCCGCCCGGGGCCATTAGCCCGGCGACTTTGTTTTAGAAACTTCCCACCCCAGCGGGGGACGCGACAGCGAGCCGCCCCCGCCCGCCCCCGCCGCCGCTAATTGGGGGGCGATGCGGGGCTGCGGGGAGGGGGAGACCCGGCCCTTGGGAGCCAAGAGGGTCCGGGAGGGAGTGGGGGGGGAGGTGTGTGTGAGCGCTGCTCCACGGGGGCTTCACCTTGCGGGACACCCCGCTCCGGCCCCATCTCCCCGAGCAGCAGGCTCCGAGTGCCGCCTGGCACAGCCCGGCTGTCCCCGCTCCGCCGGACAGCCCCAGTTCAATTCCCAGAGAAGCGGCATTAAAAAGCCCATCTCGTAGCAAAGCTCAGACAGAGACGGTTTAAATACGTTTATTATGGCATTGGAGGCGCTGAATCTGTTCGTGCGAGCCCCTTATTTTAGTTTTGTGCCTGGGCGCACGCAGGCTCCGCTCCCGGTATTAGTTCTCCATCAATCCCCGCTCTGGTTTTTAATCAAAACAGTATTCGAAATATGATTCCCGGAGATTATATTTTGAGAGATTTGCGATACATATCTTGCCGGCGTGACAGATTGCAGGGGAGTCCTGAGCGGGCGGGATAATCTGCATCTCGCTCACTTGACCTTTAATAAAAGGGGAGTAAAAGTAATAAATAAAAAATAAAAGTCTTAAGACTCCTTGCAGGTTACCTTCGTGCCTGCCTTAGAGACCTCGAGGCCTGCGCCCGCCTAATTAACTCTCCCCGCGGGTTTCGCGGCTCTTTCGTGGCCGGGGGATGCAGGGCCGGGGAATGCAGGGCCGGGGGATGCAGGGCCGGGGGCAGAGCCGGCAGCTCAGGGGAGCTCTTGGCCGCGGGGGCCGTGCAGGTTTCGTCCCACCTGAGCAGCTCAGGAGGGCGATGCAGAGCTGCCTCCCCGGGGAGCCTCTAACCGGGAAACGGAACCGGAGGAAGCCGGGTCGCTCCCCTGCAGGACGGGACACAGCCGGGAGGGAGGCCCGGCCTGGCTCTGCCGTGCGGACACGCGTGGGAAACCTGCACACGTGCTCCCGAGGCAGAGAATACCTGTCCTCTCCGGTGGGCGGAAAAGTCGCCTTGCAAGAACCCTTCGAAAGGGCCTAATACTCTTTATTACAAGCCCTAATCCTTCAAATCCGACTTGAAATAATGTTTATCTTTTCGCAGCTTAATTTCCCCTTCTCTAAGCTTCGGGTCACTGCAACAGACTGCTGCTGCTGCTGCTGCTGCTGCACCGCCTCTCGTCCAGGGCTGCTCCGGAGTGCGGGACAGCCGCATGGCCGGGCAGGAGCTCCCAGCCCCGCTCCCAGCCGCGCCCTCACCTGCTGTCCTCCTGTGCACCCGCCTCCCCCTCCCTTTCCCCCCCGGATCCTCCAAAGCCTGACAAAGTTTGCCTTGTTTCACAGCGTCCTGTGCTCCCGGGAAGGGCCGCGGCTGAAGCCGGGGGCAGCCCCCTCACATTTCCCTGCGTTGACCTCCAGCTCCTCCTCTCCCCTACGAATTGCTTCTCCGGTCGCAGAGCCAGGGGGCTCCCAGTTATGCAGCCCCACTCGTCTTGAGTAGCCTTTAGTAAACATATAGAAGTCTACTCGATATTCAAGATTGATTTCCCTGATTTATTAAGGCAGAATTCATTGGACTCTATTGACCACAAATGACTTAATGTAAATGCTGACCCCGGTGAACTTGGAAATAGCAGGTATCGGGTTGATCTATAGATGACCTCTTAATTACCACAGTTATTAATTTAAATTATTGCCACTGCTTCTAGAGACAGGAACAAAGAAACATTCTTTCCTCATCCCTGCTTGGTTTATTAGTCTGAACACAAAGTGTTTGATGACACTTTTAATTAAACAGAAATAATGCAGAGATACGGTTTCCCTTTCTCGTCTGTCCTGTAAAGTGCAGCACTGCTCTTTTGACTGACTGACGGCGGTGACCCACTAACAACGTCCTACTTCGCCGCCCGGTCGCCACCCGCTGCCCGGGGTGCCCCGGCCGTGCCCCAGGGCGGGTGGCGGCTGCCGGGGCCGCTCCTCCCGGGCTGTGCCGGCTCCTGGCTGGAGAGCTCCGAGGTCACTGGCGGCTTCGTGGCGTTCAGCTCACCCGTGTTAATTAGACTCCGAAAAATACTTTCAGCGGTATCTATGTACAGAGATGGGAAAGAAACAGTCCGGCGTAACCTGCGCCGCTTCTCCTCCTTCTCCTCCTCCCCGGGACGGCGCGGAGCATCTTCAAACTGGTGCCCCATGGCAGAGCAGGGCGCTGAGCGGAGAGCGCAGGTTTGGGAGGAAAAGGAGAAACAAACCACGACGTGGGAGGAAAAGAGAAAATATCAGGGTGGGGGTTTTTCCTTTTTGCAAAGACGTCAAAGGGCAATACCGAACACATGGCAGGCGAGCGGCGGGGAGGCGCCGCTCCTGCGGCCTCTCCTCCCGCCGCGGCCCCGGCCCCACGTGCGCAGCACGTTGTGTGCGGCGGCGCTTCCCGGCGAGGGCAGGGCAGAGCGGGCGGAGCCGCCGCCGGCCCGGGGACGGGGTTCGTTCGTTCCGTCAAGCCGAGCGCTTCCTTACAGCCGGAGCCCCGTCGCCAGCGCCCATATGGGGCGGGCGGCCCTGCGGGACGGAGAAGCGGTGATGAGCTGGTGCTGAGTGGCCGCGGGTTGCTGCCCCGCCCGGGCGGGAGCTCCGGGAGCGGGGCAAAGCGGCGGCCTTGGCGCGGCGCTCTCAGGCCGGGGCCGCTGCGGTGTCCCAGGGCCAGGTGGGCTGGCGTGCGCTTCGTGCGAGGTGGGGCCCCGGCAGCCGGCCCATCACCTACCTCACCTCCGCAGCACGGGCCGGAACGCCGTCCGCAGCCTGTCCAGGCACGTCCCGCCCAGCTCGGTGCCTCCCGGGCCGCCCTTGGCGCCCCGCCCGAAGCCTGCACAGACACAAGCGGCTCGCGGTGGGCACGGCCCGGTCCCGCCTCCCTCCCCTGCCCGCTCGCCTCGAGCGGGGAAGCCTCGGCGTCTGCACCTGACACCTGGGCACGGCCGGGCACCGGGGCTGTCACTGCGCGGGCGGGCTCACGCCGCGCCCTGTGTCCCGGCCCGGCCCGCGGTCCCGCCCGTCCCCGCGGCCCCGCCGCCGCGGGTACCTTCGCCCGCCGCCGCGAACTGGCACGGCTCCCCCAGGCCGCGGTGGGACGCGCAGCTTCGCGGGAGCGGCTGCAGGTTGAAAGCGGAGCTCCGGAAGGCCTTGGCGGGCAGGGGTTGCTCTCCCTCCGCGCCGCGGCCCTCGGGGCTGCCCCTGCGCGCCGCGCTGGCCCCGGCGGTGCGCGCCAGCGACCAGATGCGCGGCTTCTCCGCGGGCGCGTAGGGCGGCGGCGGGCCGGCCAAGGAGGCGGGGGCGAAGTCCGCGGCGGGGGCCTTGGCACAAGGAAAGGCGTGGAAGGGGCCGGGCAGGCTGCAGTCGCTCCTCGGAGCCTCGGGCAGCGCCGCGCCCAGGCTGGGGGCTTCCTGCAGGGAGCTGGTCCGGCCCTTCTCCGGCTTCCCCGCCTCCTCCTCCTCCTCCTCTTCCTCCTCGTCCTCCAGGTCGCTGAACCGCAGGTCCTTGTCCTCCTTGTAGCTCTTCTGCTCTACTTGGACACACACGGAGAAAAAAAAAAGGGGCGGCAGGGCGTTAGTGCGGGTGCGGGGAAGTTGGGGGGGGGCTCGAAATCGGCCGTCACTTCGAGCCTACTTGGAGGCGCCCGTCTGCCTCTCCCGCCTACCTCTGCCTTCACCCTCCGCACTGTATTCATCCTCTTCCCTCGGGGTTTCTTCTTTCCTCTCTTCCCCGGCTTTGTTCTTGGGAGACCAGGTCATTTTGTTTTCTTTCTTAAGCCTCCGTCTGGCGTTAGCAAACCAAGTGGACACTTGCGTCAGGGTCATTTTAGTGATGATAGCCAGCATGATTTTCTCTCCTTTGGTGGGGTAGGGGTTTTTGCGGTGCTCGTACAGCCAGGTCTTGAGAGTACTCGTCGTCTCTCGCGTTGCATTTTTGCGTCTGGCTGAACCACCGAAATCCACCGTCCCGTACCTGCTGGGAGATGATTAGGGAGGGGGGGCTGGCGGGAGTTCAGGTAAGGGCTCCCCGGCCCGGCCCAGCCGCGCCGCAGGCCGGTGTGGCCTCTGCCCATCTGCCTTCCTGCCCCTGCCCTCCTGACATCGCCGCCCAACTTTGGTTTCCGCTGTCTGCCGCTCCCGGGCGCCTCGTTTCTTTTGTACAACGTTTGTCAGGTCGGAGCCCCCCCGTCCCCCTCGTTTGATGTCGACCGCCGCCTCGCAGGGGGATGCTAATGCTGCCGGGCGCTGATCAAAGGGGTTTTACCTGTCGTACTGGTACTGCCCCAAGGAATGATCGTAGGAGTAGTAGGTAGCGGGCTGCGCGATTCCCGAGTGCAGCGTGCCGGCGCCGTCTTTGATTTCATACTGGGGGTTCTGCAAGGGAAGCGGCAGCGTCTGGCGTCGGGCGGGACGGGAGCCCCGCCGCGCCCCGCAGCCCCGGCTCCCCGCGGCAGCCCTTCGCGCCCCCCACCCCCGACGGGCCGCTCCCGGTCCCACATCCCTCGGCCGTCCCCCGCCCCGGTACCCACTGCGAAACGCGAAGTTTCTCCCGCCTGTTGCACCCCCTCCCCTCCGCAGCGCTGCCGGGCGGGCGGGCACTCACCAGCGCGGTGTAGAGCGCGGCGGGCTCGGCGCCGTAGGGCAGGTAGTTGCCGTAGCCCTGGCCGGCGGCGTACGGGGCGCTGTACATGCCCAGCGCGGCATTGAGCTCGGCGCGGCCGGGCGCCAGCAGCCGGCTCTCGTACGGGGCGCAGCAGAGGGAGGCGGCGGCCGGCGCCGAGGAGGCATCCGGCCCGGAGCGGGGGGCGGCCTCGCAGCAGGTCGTGCTGGGGCTGGCGGGCACGAAGAACTGCGGAGAGGAGAGAGCGGGACGGCGCCGAGTGACTGTCGAGGCAGCCCCATCGGGGGGAATTTAGGAGAGTGTGCGCGCCTGGGTGTGTGTGCGGAGGGGGGGGCGGCGGTGAGGAGGGGGATAGGAAACGCGGGCCGAAGCGACTAATTATAGAAACCGGGAAATAAACCGGATGGGAAGCAGGAGCTCTTGGGAAGGGGGCACGATTAATCAAGCAAGCAAAACTTTAAGGAAATAATTGCTCTCGAAAAAGGTATGAGATCCGTAAGGCTCCATCCTTCCCGCCCCCGCTCGGTCCATCTGCATTGATTTAAAGGCAAAAAGTTGCGATTACAGTTAATTTGACAATAGACACAGCAGTAAATATGTCAGCCAACGCAATCGAAGGCATTTGATTTCAATAACTTCAAGGGGACAGCTAACTTCCCAAGCGAGGGAGGCACATCTTGCAGTGATTACCGTGTATAAATAATTCTACCCAAATAAATCGTGACTCGAAGTACGATAAAGCTACGACTTAGTTAATACAGGGTGCCTTGGTGTGAGTGGGGGATGTCCTTCGGAAATCGCATGGGGGAAAAAAAAAAAACAACAAACCTCTCGACAGATCCTAATAAAACACAGGAAAAGGACCGACCCGTGGAGGAAGGAGGGAGGAAACGGCACAGCCCGGTTCCGCAGAAACGCGAGTGAAACCCCGAGCCCGCCGGGCGCCGGTTCCCGCTGCCCGCGCCCCCTCCGCCGTGCCCGGGCGGCAGCGGAGCGGCGGGGGCAGCGCCCGGCGCGGCGCGGCCGCTCCGCGGGCTCGGGGAGCGGTCGTAGCTGGGATTTATGTTTTTATTTGTTTGTTGCACTTAAAACTGAACGGTGAAGGGTGGGGAGGAGGGGGAATTACCGGTTTCCTACACGCCTTTGCTGTGCACACTGCGAGTTATTTGTTTAAGCCTAACACAACACAAACGAGACATAAACACACACGCACATTTTTTAAAAAAGGGCTCCAGATGTGCCCTTTTAAAAAATATTCTAAGTAAGGGAAAGGGAAGAAAAAAAAGGAGGGGGGACAAGACATCTGGACAGCAGCAGCAGAATCTAAACAAAAGTGAGTGCTGCTCACTCGCCTTACCTGTGAAGTGGTGCTGTAGGGGTATCCGAACTGAGAGAAGGACATAGTTGCTCCTTATTTTTGGACCATAGGCAATATTTTCCCCCCAAGATCGATTGTAACTAAACCCTGCTTCAAGATGCACCTTCTCACACACACATTTCCACGTATGGCAAAATAGGCTACCCCCCACTTCCCATCGCTCTTAATAAATATGTTTGTATAGAGGGAGTTAAAAAAGCCGCCCCACATGTATAGAGAGTTTAAGTGCAAGGGGGCTTTTTCAAAGAGGGGGGGAAAAATCACGTAGGGCTTGCAAGATACGGAGCTTGCTTGTATTATTTTCTGCTCTATAGGTCTTTAGCGTTCATCGGTGGGCGAGGAGCGGGGTGACGTCACGGCCCTGCCGGCAGCAGCGGCGGCGGCGGGCAGGAGCCGGCAGCGCCCCGCGCCCGCTCCCGGCACTTGTTTCATCTCGGTTCCGTCTTGTGCTCTGATGCACGTCAAAGGCGGCACTGGGGGTGCCTTGCGGTTGGTCCTTTTTTTTTTTTTTCCCTTTTATTTTTAAACACGATCAAAATTTGTCCTGGGGGAATAAATATCAAGTGGGGACATCGCGGCACCCGCCAGCCCCAGCGTGCCCCCTGCTATGGCCCGCGGGCAGGGGTCGCGGTGGCAGCGGCGGTGCCGGCGCGCCCGGGGCAGCAGCTTTCGAGGGCGGCCCGGCCGACGCAGCCTCCCCTGGCCCTTCTCGCTGACCTGGCGCCCATCCCCAGGGCCAGGCGCTGCTGTACAGCTCGGCCCCGGCTCTGCACCGAAGCCGCTGAGCCGTGCTCCCCGCCTCGGCGTCGCTGCCCGTCGCGGCGGCCCGGAGCCGCGGGAGCGGGGCCAGAGCTCGCCCCGCACAGCGTGCCTGGGCAGGGCCGGGGCCGGGACAGAACACGGGCCCAGAGCAGCCCGGAGCCCCTTCTCTAAGGAGTGCTGAGCCCCTTGTTCCCCCTTAGCCCCGTGATGGTCCCTCCGGGAGCGGGGGGCCGGGGCGGTGGCAGGTCAGCGGGGCGGTGATGGATGGATGGTTGCCTGCAGCCCGGCCGGCCCGCTACCGCCACGGCGTAATTGCATCAATTAACAAATGGAAATGCCCTTGTTTAACCAGGGACTTACATATTGCGAATTTGCCTTTGAGGCGAGATCACCGGGAGGTAAACCGGGATTTCCCCCCTCAAGAGCCTGGAGCTGCAAGGCGCTCCCGGGCCGGACAGGGCGACACCCTGCCAGTGGCAATTCATAAAGAAAAAGAAAACCAAGTAAAAACGCGTCCCAGGGCGGCCCGGCGGCGCTTGTCCCGAACACGCCGGGGCCGTGTCCTGCCCAGCCGGTGGGCAGCCCTGGCAGCCTTGCCCGTGTCCGTGCCCGTGCCCGCCCCGCCGGAGCCGCTCCGCTCCGCCCCGCTCCCCGACGGGTGGCGCTGCCGATCCGCGAGCGATGCGCGCCCGCCCGGGGGCCGCTCCCCGGCGCACCCCAAGGTCGGGGCCGCTGCCCGCGGGGCCGGAGCGACGCGAGGGGAGCGGGGCGCCCGAGCCGCGTCCGCCCCGCCGGGGTGAGCGGAGGGGCCCGGAGCTCAGGGCCGGCTGCACAGCGCTCTGTTTCGCCCGCAGCCTGGCGAGACGGAGCGCTGTAAACCCGAGCCTTGTCAATTGTCGTTAACAGGGGCAATAACTTAAAATTCATTAAAGAACACCTTTGGGTAACATTACTGCTAATTATTTAATTGCAGGAATCCCTATGGGGAAAATTATGCTAATTATAAAGTAATAAAACTACTTGTTCTAAAGCACTTAATTCAGCAAAATTTAGTCTTTTCACTAGAACACTTTGTATGTTATTTGATGGAAGAAACAACAAGAGTAGCTGTGTGCTCATCCTGCCTGCGGCTCAGACCCAAAGGAGCTGTCGCTGGCAGTGTGTTTGTGCTGGCAGGTTGCATGCAGGGCTCTTGTCCTTACTGAAGCACTAAAACTGGGGCAGAATTCACCGTACAAAAAAGCATTTTTATAACAGAGATCATGCAGATCAATACAAACATTGCATTTCCCAATCTTTATCATGCACAATCAACATGAAAGCAATGCTGTTGCCTGTCAGCTATGTTGTGGCTGAGCTAAGCTTTGGGAAATGGCCTTTCCCAACCTAGCTCTCTCCACACAGCACTCTGCCCTACGGAGATGTTTCAGCAGCACAGTTTTTTCTAGACATGCTCAAGAGCCATCCAGATGACCCCTTTAATTGCCCTTACAAACCTGGGAGAGTGAATGGCATTCCTATTAACAAATACAAGCTCTGCTGTACTCCCCAGCTCTTTAGGAGGACACAAACTCTGTCTCTTTGTGTTCTGAGCACTGCCACCATTCACTCTGCCTGTCCATCACTGAGCGACCATACTCTGCATGTCAAAGCTGCCAAAACATCTTTCTGTGATTTGTAAATATTGGCATAAACCTTCTGTTAACAAGTTCCTGAACCCGGCTTGGCAGAGGGTAGCTTTGGGTTGGAGTATGCAAATTGCCATTTTTCTCATTGCAGGGAATCAGCTTCACCAGCCCAATTTCCATTCTGCACATACACCATGTCTCGGAGAGACAGCTGATGCTGTACATGGTCACTGCAGATCTTTCTTTCTCGAAATCTGTGTCATCTCTCTCCCTGCATACAAGCATATCATCCCACCCACCCAATGTGCATTCCCTTCACCCAGTCATCCTAGAGAGGAGTGTGTGACTACAAACACGAGCAAAACTGGAAAATGATCTCTCTTGATTCACAAACTTTTGTTCTTGAAAGAGAGGACTGCGAGGCTTAACTGTAAACATTTCTGCAAGCAGTTCTTCTTGAAGCGAGGCAGGAGTTCAAATGCAGCCAACAATACGATTTTTGATGCTTTTAAAATCAACATCATTTGGTTCAGCTCTGATACTGCTTTGCTCGGGAGGTAATTGCAAAGGGTGAAGGTAACAGTATGTGCTTCCCACCGATGCAAATGCAGCTGCTGATAACTGCAAATGAAATAATAGGTTAATTGAAATAACCAGGGGAAGAAGAAAGCAGCTTCAAAAACATGGGGAAGAAATGTGGCTGAGAAGAAAGTGTCTTTATATTTTAGAATACAGGGGAATTTTTTGGCTGTTTCTTTTTTGTACAGAGAAAATGAAAATTCTTCAAGTCCATGCATGAATAAACAAGTACAGCTGGGCAGCCTAATACATAATTTATACTGATCAGTCACTGCAGATTTAACTGAATAAAGCCAAAATGAACACTAATTGTTTTGACAAACTAAAATAGTGTATATGATGGCTTATTGTGAAACTTGCTGGTACTGTCCTTATCTCAGTGGCTATTTTCAAGACTGATTTCTGCATGAGAGGTAGAAATATATTGAGACAATATAAAGATTAATATCTTATGGAAGATAAAAAATTTTAGTTGCTTAACATACAAGCAGAAAATAGAACTGTCTTCAGCAGAGAGGCGAGAACTGGCACAGTGAAGTGTGGGACAAGAGCTGATTTAGGGGGTGAGGTATTGCCAAGGTAATGGCTGGTACCCTGTTGGCTGAAGGCTAAACCTGAAAGTGGTATTTTGTTTTTGTCACATTTGAAATACATTGGGAATAAATTTGCCTTTGGATACTTGTCTTCTGGAAGGGGACATCCAAAAAGTTGTCAGTGAATTTCTGGGCAGTTATGTATGTAAGCTCGTTAATCTAAGAAGCTACACACTTTTGGTACGTGCAGAGTGAGAGAAATACAAGACTCGGGCTTTGCTTTGCTTCTCCAAACCCTCTCATTGAGATGGATGGCTAAATGAGAGCAATTTAAGATATCCTTTGGAAATAAAGACACAGACAAAAGTAATAATATTCACAGGGGTCCCTAAGCACCACTTCTGTGTGGGCTCCTTTTTGTGACAGTGAGCTCTGCCACCTTGCCCTCCTACCTCTTCTCCAGGGACTGGCAGCTCAACCTGGCTCCCAGCAGCACTTCCATAATGATCAATGGGTTTGCTGAATCTCAGATTATCACCGTGTTTGCTGTGATTAAGTTTTGGGAAATGGCTGTAAAACTGACAGTTGGGTTTGAGTGTCACTGGAGTTGGAGGATGGTAGAACCCAGGGCTTTATTCTGAACCATTCTGTGCCCAGTGGCAGCCAAGTGGAAGCTGGACATGAATCTTTCCCAGGCTTTAGGGTGGTATTTTCCTTGGATCTGGGGCCATCACTAACTTGTGATCACCCCAACTTGTGAAAACATACTTTGCTGATGAGAAAACACCTATTTTGTAAAGAGTGCTCTACATCTGTGTAGTCAAGCACTTCTGTACTGGCTTTCTTCAGGTTATCTGTAGCTTATTCTGTAAAGTACAGATTCATCTGGTGAAGATACATCTACACAAAACCTTTGAGAACTTCACCTCTGAGAACTTGTTTATGCTTTGCTGAAGTGTGGGTTAATTTATGCCAGGAGACTTAGGGCAGCTCTCATTCAGTCTGACTCCTCTGTGGATTCATTTTCCAATAAAATCAATAAAATAAATAATTATTTTTTTTTTGGTGATGAAGAGATTGCTGGTCTGGCAGATCATGAGCAGGGTTCAGCATTAACCACCCAGCTGTGTCTGTGCTCTCATGGCCTTTGCATCAACTCGTGTGTAGTTGGTGTGAAGGAGTCATGTGAAGGAGTCATGTGAAGGAGTCATGCAGCTGCTAAACTGTAGTTTTTAATTTAACATCACCTTAGGTATAGTTTGTCATTTTTGTCCTGTGGTAGTGAAAGGCAGTTTTATTCCATTACCTACTCTGCCTTGCTGTAGTTTTCAGGGTTTATTTTAAAATTAGTATGCTGGCTATGTGCAACTGTGCCTTCTCTTCCAAGAAGTTGGTATTCTTCACCAACTTCTGTGCACTGTTAAATGTGAATATCAGAACTGCTTCCACGTTTACTTTCATTTGTAATTCACAAAACTCCAGTTGTGTTTGTTGTACAAACACTATGTTAGAAACATAAAGAGCTTAT